ACCCGAAACGTCAGCTTTCCTGCTCCTCTGATGCTGCTTGGCCTGCAGTGTTCATCCAGCTCTACACCTTGTTATCACAGTCAGATAGGGAGCTGGTAAGCCTTCCTCTGCAATTTTCCCAGCATCACTGCCCATTTTTAGCTGGCAGAAACTGGGCGGTGCATTGACACAAATGTTCTTGAAACTAACTGCTATTGAAAAGTGAAACACTCAATGCAACATACAGCAATCTCTCAGATTAGCTCCTTTAACACATGGAAGAATTCTTGTCCAATAGTTCCATTTCACTTAGTATAAACCATTCTTCGCTGCATTACAGACAGAAATGATCGATTGTCTCAGTGTGTGAAGTATTTGTTGTGGGCTGTATTGACAGACTTGAAGGAGGTAAACCACAAAACCAGCAGTGACATCTGAGAATGTACTTGTCACATGCAATTAGTTCATTAAGTGTCAAACAGTTTTCAGCTCACTGATGTTGGATGCGTACAGGCAGATAAATGCTAGGAACATTAGAGTGGGGTTGGAATTAATTGTGCACAAAGCTTTTGAATGAAGCAAATGAAACAACAAATACGAAGAACAACACCACTGTAAAAAATAGCAACCTACTCTTAATGAATTTGAAAGCAAAAACTCAAACAAATCCTTTACATTAGTATTGTTGAAAAGCCCTTGCAGATTGATTACTTAAATTGAAAGTTTTGCAATCTTGCATCCTATTTTCTGATACATGTTTGCAAGTGAGTCCACAGAATATAGTAATCTGATTACTTTTCTTATTTTAGATTGCATTTAAACTACAAATGTAGCATTGGCAAAATCAAAAATTGACATTGGTGTAAATGTAGTCTAATTCCAGTCAGGTTTAGGCCAGTCACTGGAGTGAAGAGGGCTCTGAACCCATGTCATTTGAGAACCTGTTCACAGATTGACATCTAATTTACACAACACAAGCAACAGCAAAAATGAAATTGCTTCATACCAATGTTATGATTATAACGGGCTTTCATTGCTAAATGCTCGATTGGCAGGGTTGCAAATTGATTTAATAATGGTCATGCCTCATTTGCTAGATTGAAATCATCTGCCAACAATGTTTACTATTCCAGGATAAACCTAGAATGCAAAACTGACCCTCAGCTTCTCTTCTTCATGACAAATCCTCTTCTTTAGTCCATCTTCTCTGCTTGTCCCATCCTGACCTCAAACTAAGTGGAAACAGTTTACATAAATATTTGACAGATTGAGGCTATTCAACATCCTTCAACCCTCAACCAAAGCAGACTTAGGACCATAGAATCCCAACAGTGCAGAAAGAGGCCACCTGGCACATTGAGTCTGTACCAACCATCCAAAAAGCATCTCACCTAGACCCACTCCTCCTCCTCCTATTCTATGCCTATAACCTGACATTTCTCATGGCCATTCCACCTAGACTGCACATCTTTGGACTGTGGAAGGAAACTGCAGCACCCAGCGGAAACCCATGCAGAGAATGGGAAGAATGTGCAAACTCCACCCAGACAGTCCACCCGAGGTTAAGATTGAACCCGGATCCCTGGTGTCGGGAGGCAGCAATGCTAACCACTGGGCCACTGTGTAAAGGTTTCCCTTTACCCTTGCTCTATGTTTGTATCTTTCCCCAGCTTCTCTTGTACCTCTCCTTATACTCTCTCTGAAACTCACCTCATCTGTTTTTCCACTAAACTAATCATCACCCAACATTCCTTCCAGTTAATTGACATCGTTAACAGGCATTGTCCTCAAATTGTCATCACGCTCCTTAAAAAAAAAACACCCTTTCACCCCTTTCTCATTGAAAGTGACAGGCTCCACTTTCAGTCTCCCTTATATTTCCAAAATATTTGAAGGTGTTGCCTCCTTCAAAGTCTGTGCTCGACAATCTTGCAATTCAACATTTGAATTACCCCATCACATTTCCAGCCTGAACCAACATCACCAATGTCTTTATCAAAGTTACAAGTTATATCATTTGTGATTGTGCCAGTGATAAGCTATCGCTCCTCGTCCTTCTGAAACAGTTTGCAGCCTCTGGCACAGTTTACCATACCATTTTTAACAATGACTCCCCTCCATTGTTGAGTTGTGTGAGTCTGCCTCCACCTGACTCCATTATTGTCTCTCCATTCATAGCCAAGGAAACACCTGGATCACCTTCTCTTCCCATTACTTCATTATTAACTCTGGGTTCTCCCCAGGATCCATAATTTCTCCCCCAGCACCCCAGTATTCATCTACATGGTCGTCTACAGCGACATCATCCAAAAACATGTCAAGCTCCACATGTACACTGATTACAACAAACTCCATCTCACCTACTTCTCTCTCACACCTTCGGCTTTATCAGACAACTTGTCCGAGCTAGCTGCAAGTTCCTTCCACCAAATACCGGGAAAACCATAACTGTATGTCTAGTGCCCATTACAAACTTCATTCACCAGCCACAGACCCCACCTCTTTCTCAGGCCACTGTCTGTGCTTGAACCAGATTGTTCACAACCTCTTTCACCCTGAGTTGAGCTTTTGACCCACTTACTTTTTCCATTGTCAAACATTGTCTTTGCAACATTGCCTGATTCTGAACCTCCCTCAGCACATCTACTGTTGATACCTCCTCTGTACCCTTGCTTCCTCTGGACTTGATTCTTCCAATGATCTCCTGGCCAGGATCACCTTTCCACCACACTCAAATTGTAGCTGATCAAAACAGCCGAACCCATGATAAGTCATACTCATCTATTATACTTATGTTTACTCACCTATATTTTTTATGGCCAGCATTTATTGCCCATCCGTAGTTGCCCTTCAGAAGGTGGTAGTGAGCTGTCTTCTTGAATTGCTACATCCACCCGCTGTGGGTTGACCCACAATGCCATCAGGGAGGGAAGTCCAGGATTTTGACCCAGCGGCAGTGAAGGAATGGTGATATGTTTCTAAGTCAGGATGGTGAGTGGCTTGGAGGGGAAATTGAAGATGATGGAGTTCCCATACTTTTACTGCCCTTGTCCTTCTCGATAGGAGTGGTATCAGGTTTGGAAGGTGCTGCCTGAGGATCTGTGGTGAATTTCTGCAGAGCATCTTGTAGATAGTACACACCGCTGCTACTGAGCATCAGTGGTGGAGGGAGTGGATGCTTGAGTATGTCCTGCCAAACAGGTACGCTGCTTTGTTCTGGATGGTGCCAGGCTTCTTGAACTTTGCTGGAACTGCACATCCAGGCAAGTTGGGAGTATTCCATGAAGTAGATGATGGACAGGCTTTGGGGAGTCAGGAGGTGAGATATTCTCCGCAGTATTCCTATCCTCTGACCTGCTCTTGTAGCCACTATGCTTATGTGGGGAGACCTGTTGAGTTTCCTGTCGATGATAACCCCCAAGATGTTGATAGTGACGGATTCAGTGATGGTAACACCATTGAATGTCAAGAGGCGGTGGTTAGATTGTCTCTATCAGCAATCGTCATAGCTTGGCATTTATGCAGTGCCAGACATTTATGCAGTGCCAATGTTACTTGCCACATGTCATCCCAAGCCTGGATATTGTCCAGATCTTGTTGTATTTGAACAAGGACTACCTCAGAATCAGAATGGTGCTGAATATTGTGCAATTATCGGCGAACGTCCCCACTTCTGACTTTATGATGAAGGGAAGGCCATTGATAAAGCAGCTGAAAATGGTTGAGTCTTGGAGATTACCCTGAGGAACTCACGTAGACATGTCCTGGAGCTGAGATGACTGAGGTCCAACAACCACAACCATCTTCCTGTGTGCCAGATGTGGTGTCTCCAACCATCGGAGAGGTATTCTCAAAGTGAAGGCGGGACTTTCTCTCCAGAAGGACTGTGTGGTGGTCACTCTTACTGATACTGTCATGTACAGGTGTATCTGCAGCTGGTGGATTGGTGAGGACGAGGTTTTTAGTCTTGTTGGTTCCCTCACCACCTGCTGCAGATGCAGTCTAGCAGCTATGTCCTTTAGGACCTGACCAGCTCGATCAGTATTGCTGCTGCTGAGCCACTCTTGGTGGTGGACATTGAAATCCCCTACCCAGAGTACATTTTGTGCCCTTGCAACCTCTGTGCTTCCTCCTAGTGTTGTTCAACATTGAGGAGTATAGATTCATCAGCCAAGGGAGGATTGTATGTGGTAATCTGCAGGCGGGTTTCCTTGCCCATGTTTAACCTGAAGCCACGAGACTTCTTGAGGTCCAGAGTCAATGTTGAGGACTGCCATACAACACCCTCATGACTGTATACCACTGTGGTGCCACCTCTGCTGGGTCTGTCCTTTAATCATTTTCTGCCTCGATCTAATTCCCACTATAAACCCCTCTGCCTCACTCTGTCATTATAACAAACTTCTTTATTCAAGGTTACGTGTCCTAATATCCCTATGTCATTAGCTGTTAAAATGTTGTTTGATTATAGTCTGTGAAGCACCTTGTAATCCTTTCCTATTTTAAAACAGCAGTAAAAGTGTGAATTATGGTTGTTCTCTCGGGTAATTAGAGACAATTTAATAATTCATTGAACCCTCTCATCCCAACAAAATGATGCAGTCAAATATATTTGTCTGTGACGTCCATGTGCTGTTAAATTGCTCTAAGTTGCCCTCTCCATGTTTAGAACCATTTTTCTTCTTTACTCTTTAAAATGTCATCATCTTTATTGGGCTGCTAACACAGAACTTGACGTCTGTTGAGATGCCCAGGATGGACCTCCTCCAGTGTCACAACGATGCCACCCGGAAATTGGAGGAGCAGCACCTCATATTTCGCCTTGGAAGCCTATAAGCCAATGGTCTCAACGTGGATTTTACCAGCTTCAAAATCTCCCCACCCTCAGCCTCATCCCAAGACCAACCCTCCTTCTCATCCCTGCCTCCTTGACCTGTCCGTCTTATCTCCCACCTATCTGCTCCTCCCACTTCACTAATCCCCACCACTACCTACCTACTATCACCATCCCACCTACCTTTCCCAGCCCAATGTCCCCGCCTCTCTATTTATTTCAGAGCCCCCTTCCCCTCCCCCATTTCTGAAGAAGGGTCCTGACCCAAAACGTCAGCTTTCCTGCTCCACTGATGCTGCCTGGCCTGCTGTGTTCCTCCAGCTCCACACTGTGTTATCTCAGACTCCAGCACAGCAGTTCTTATTATCTCTGACATCATCTTCTTTACTCTGCTATCAAAATACTTTTCCTTTATTCACTGTTGTTGCTTTGAACTAGAGAATTTCTTGAGTTTCTCTCTGATTATACCCCATGCCCTCACCAGGTTTGTCTGTATCTACTAGGCTCCTTTGACCCCAAATCTACTAAGCAATGGACTATCAAACCTTCTTCCTGGCCTTTGTTTTATGGAGTAAATGGCACCCTTTGATCTGGTATTCTCTCTTTTACTTTAAAAACTGACATCATCAGCCTCTCTCATCAAAAGGCCTATCCTTCAACTGCTCTTGTCATTGCAAACTAACAGCCAACTTCAACCCTCTCTTTCCTCTCCAAAGTCCTTAAACCCACTAGTACATCCCACATTTGGACCAACCTTTTCCAGAATGTCGTGTCTGAATCTGGACAAATCAATTTGCACCCTGCCAGAGCAACTGACTCTAAACCAGTCACAAATCACATTTTCTGTGATGGTGACTGTCATGCACTATTCCGTCTCATCCTTCTCAATCTCTCAGCATCATTTCGACATTACCACCTCACTCCCCCCAAATGCCCCTCCTCCATTATCTAGTTCAATAGATCCATTCTGTCTTGGCTTCACTCCTATGTATCTGAATGGAAGCATCTCTACCCATTCTATGTTGTGAACTTTGGGATTCTCCTAAAATCTGCTGTTGGCCCCTTCCTCCTCCTCATACTTATCTGCACTTTGCAACGGAATCAATTTACATAGAGTCAGCTTCAGCTAATGACATCTAATTTTTATTCCCCACCAGCTTTCTGGACTCGTTGTTAAATTGCTGGTCCATCACCTCGTCCTGTATGAGGCATTTCTTCCTTCAGTTAAATATTGGGAAACCAAAGTCCTCATCTTCATCTCATCATTACAAAATCCATTTCCTTCATTCCCACAATTAAATTGTTTTGTGTGCTATGACTAAACTGAGAAAAATTATATCAACAGAATTAACCATTGCAGCTTGATATTTAAGGATTTTGAGATAAGTACCAATACAAAACAAACATCTGTACACAACCACTAAGGAAAGGATCAGCCTTTTTCCATTATAACCTGAATGAAAAACTGCTGCAGAGAAAATAGGACACCTGTTGCACCATTGTTGAAATATCCAAAATCTAGTGCTCCTATAATTCCATTGGTTTCTCCATGCATTTCCTCACCAAACACTCCTGCAGTATAAATTGTTGCGATAGCTTGAAATTGGGGATTTTTGATTGGGTCTGATTTATTACTGTCACATGTACTTACATGTCACAGGTACAATAAAAAGTTTTGTTTTGTGTGCAGTGCAGTACAGGCAGATCATACCATACAAAGTGCATGGGGTAATAGAACAGAGCAAAGAATACAATGTTAAAGCTGCAGAACTGGTGTATAGTGAGCGAGAGTCACACTAAATTTAAAATTTGACAGGTCCATTCAGAAGCCTGATAACAGCAGGGAAGAAGCTGTCCTGAATCTAGTAGTATGTGTATATACAAATCTCTATATCTTCTGCCCAGAGAAAGAGGGTGGAAAAGAGTATAACCAGGGTGGGAGAGATCTTTGATTATGTTGGTTGCTTTCCTGAGGCAGCGGGAAATATAGATGGAGTCAATGGATTGTGTGATGGACTGGGCTGTGTTCACAACTCTCTGTAGTTTCTTGCAGTGTTGGGAAGAGCAGTTGCCAAACCACGCTGTGATGCATCCAGATAAGATGCTTTCTATGGTGCGCCTATAAAAATTGGTAAGAGTCCTTGAGGACATGTCAAATTTCCTTAGCCTCCTGAGGAAGTAGAGTAGTTCTTGCATTTGACTTGATGATTGCAAGATGAAAAGCGCCGGCAATGTCATTTTTTCTTAAACAATACCTTTTGATGGTAATGCATCCATAATTTCCCACAGCACAGATCACAACATTGCACCTCCCTGGGAATCAAATCCTGTACTACTACATTCTGGGAGGATTAAGGACACCCAAGTATATGAGTAATCTGAAGGGAAAGTGAATATCCAGCTGGTTAATGACCACGAAGATCTAACACTTTTGGCTGTCAAGTGAAAAATCAATGCAAACGGGATTAACACTTACTGGCAGCTGTTTCTCCAGGCAAATGTTGAAGGTCTTCGTTTGATTTGGCTTTAATCTTTTCAGTGGAATTCTTGTTTCGCCAATGAACTCATTATGACGGAATTTATCTTCATCGCATACCGAAATTCTGCAACAATACAATGGCAGACATTACCAGCAATTATTTTGGTACCAGTGACATGAATATACATGTACTGGTAAGAAAACTGCCTGACACGTACCTTGAAAATTTAAAACATGTTTGTAATCAACAAGCAACTGAAAGAGTTATTAATGAAACAACTAATTCCTTTAATCAATGCATAAACAACAATAAATTCCAGGGAGAAGATAAGATGGTTATGGTTTGCATGATGTTTAGAAGCCAATAAAGAAATACTTATTTAGTTTATGCTGGGCTTTCATGCAAAGAACACGAATGCAATCTCGCTAATCTTAATTATATAGAAGAAGAAATGCACTGAAAGCAGCAAGAAAGAGTGTACAAGACTGCAGAAAAGCAGATAGTTATCAGATTTAGGAAAATAAATGGCAGACACAACCTAATGTTCATTAATGTGAGCTAGGTTTTATAACAAAGGAAGAAAATCTAGGTCTGAGGATACACCATTAATGGGAACAGGCTGAAGGGTGAAACTGAAAAGAGAGATGTAAAAGTTACTCGCTGAAAGGATGACTTCAGTTGTTAGTTGCATAAACAGCAATATATTTTTGGGTTTTATATGTGACAGGCGTTAAGTGCAAACTTATCAGAGAATTTAATATCGGGACACTATGGGATGTATTTTGGCTCCTGAGGTGAGTTGCTTGTGTCAGGAAATTTTCCGACACGTCAGGCTTGCCTTTTGAATAAGTGCGTAATCAAGCAGTTAATAGTTTAGTTGTCAAAATGAAATCCCCTGTTGAATAAATGCTTTTATTAATCAGGGCTCACAGGAAAGATTGATTAATATCCTTTAGTGGTTAAGCTATATTGTTCTTTCTGTGATCACTTTTGACAATGTCTCAATGTTTATTTGGATGAGATTAAAGACGTAAAGCTTTTGAAACCTCTGTTACTAATACTTTCGTGGTCTGTCACTGTCACATTTATAGGATTGTAGCTTTACTTCAAAGAGGATTTGTGAATAAGATTGTTTTCTTTCCAGCAACTTTTCACTTTGTATTGTTATTTAATGACTCATTGATTATATGCATAGTAGATACTAGGTGAATGAGTATAGAAGGTGCATGAGTTAGCATCAACAATGTGGGTGGCCTTGTAGGATGGGGGGCGGGGGGGGGAGCGGGGTGGTGGTCGGGGCATGGGGCTATCAATAAGACCTTGAGTTGATTGCCCAAATCGATTTTGAATCTCTTTCAGATGATGAAAGCTACTATTGCGGTATGTTCCTAGTGTCCTTACTGGCCATACTTTTAACATTCAGCTCCCCCGCTGGAATTTTATTGCATTTGGTGACACCGTGTGGGCCACATCTCACACAGCCTTGTATCTTTGATGATGTTGATTCCCAACTTTCTGCAGGCTTTTTGAAGCCTAGCTATCTGTTCTGTACTGGAACTATCCCCAATGCTCTGGACTATTTGGGTCCCCGATTTATGTTTGCACAATAAATTGTTCCTATGTTAAATCCTCCTTGGATTGAAGAAAGTCTGATAACCCTTCCCTCACATTGACTACCAGTATCTTATTAATTGATTCTTTAAAGTTCTCAACATCTTTCTAAATTATACTGATCACTTAAAAAGGTTTCTAATGATTCGTCAAATGTTGAGCTCACTGATTGGATCTCACTTACCCAATCAAAAAATTTCACCTGCAGCTAAAATACATGTCAAATGCTTTAATCAATGTATCATAGCCCACAGTACTTTCTTCCGTGCTATGTCTTACCAGAACATTTTTTTTATTATTCACTTGTGGGATGTGCGTGTCGCTGGCTGGGCCAGCATTTACTGCCTGTCCCTAGTTGCCCTTGAGAAGGTGGTACTGAGCTGCCTTCTTGAACCGCTGCAGTCTACCCACTGTGGGTTGACCCACAAGTATGACTCCAACCACCGGAGGGTTTGCCCCCGATACCCATTGATTCCAGTTTTGCTCGGGCTCCCTAATGCCATACTCGCTTGAATGCAACCCTGATATCAAGGACTGTAAACTCTCATCTCACCTCTGGAATTCAACTCTTTTATCCATGTCTGAACCAAGGCTGTAATGAAATCAGGAGCTGAGTCCCCTGGCGGAACATAACTGGGCATCACTGAGCAGGCTATTGCTGAGTAGGTGCTGCTTGATAGCACTGTTGATGACAGCTTCCATCACTTTACTGATGATCGAGAGTAGACTGGTGGGGCGGTAATTGGCTGGGTTGGATTTGTCCTGCTTTTTGTGTACAGGACATACTTGGGCAATTTTCTACATTGATGAGTAGATACCAGTGTTATAACTGTTCTGGAACAGCTTGGCTAGGGGAGCGGCAAGTTCTGAAGCACAAGTCTTCAGTACTATTGCTGGAATGTTGTCAGGGCCCATATCCTTTGCAGTATCCAGTGTCTCCAACCGTTTCTTGATATCACATGGAGTGAATCGAATTGGCTGAAGACTGGTATCTGTAATGCTGGGGACCACTGGAGGTGGCTGAGATGGATCATCCACTCGGCACTTCTGGCTGAAGATTGCTGCAAATTCTTTAGCCTCATCTTTTGCACTGATGTGCTGGGCCGTTCGATCATTGAGGATGGGGATATTTGTGGAGCCTTCTCCTCCAGTGAGTTGTTTAATTGTCCACCACCATTCACGACTGGAAGTGATGGGACTGTAGAGCTTAGATCTGATCCATTGGTTGTGGGTCGCTTAGCTCTGTCTATCACTTGCTGCTTTTGCTGTTTGGCATGCAAGTAGTCCTATTTGGTGCCTTCACCAGGTTGACACTTCACCTTCAGGTATGCCTGGTGCTGCTCCTGGCATAACCTCCTGCACTCTCCATTACACCAGGATTGATCTCCTGGCTTGATGGTAATGGTTGAGTTGGGGGGTATGCCAGGCCATGAGATTACAGATTGTGCAGGAGTACAGTTCTGCTGTTGATGGCCCACAGAGCCTCATGGATATGCAGTCTTGAGTTGCTAGATCTGTGTGAAGTCTGTCCCAGTTAGCATGGTGATAGTGCCACACAACACGATGGAAGTTATTCTCAATGTGAAGGTGGGACTTTGTGGCCACAAGGCTGGTCAATCTTACCGATACAGTCATGCACAGATGCAACTGCAGCTGGGTGATTGGTGGCGGATATTGAAATCCCCCACCCAGAATACATTTTTTTTGCCCTTGCCATCCTCAGTGCTTCCTCTAAGTATTGTTCAACATGGAGGAGTACCGAGTCATCAGCTGAGAGAGGACGGTATGTGGTAATCAGCAGGAGGTTTCCTTACCCATGTTTAACCTGAAGCCATGACACTTCATGGGGTCCGGAGTCAATGTCGAGGACTCCCAGAGCAACTCCTTCCCGACTGTATAGCACTGTGCTGTCACAGTGGTGTCTGTGACATTGTTTATAAGGTATAATTTTGAGAGTATGACTACGTCAGGCTGTTGCTTACCTAGTCTGTGAGGCAGCTCTCCCAATTTTGGCACTATCCTCCAGATTTAGTGAGGAGGACTTTGCATGGTCGACAGGGCTGTTTCTGCCATTGTGTTTTCTGGTGCCTAGGTCGAAGCCAGGTGATCCATCCAGTTTCATTTCTTTGAGTCTTTGTAGCAATTGGTACAATTGAATGGCTTGCTAGGCCATTTCAGAGGGCAAACGAGAGTCAACCACATCAACAGCTATTAGACCTGCAGCATATATGAATGTGCAGCTCCCATTTTTGGCTTGTTCAGGGCCTTCTAATTATCAAAAGATTGCTGTAATGGCAAATCTCTATCAGAGCTGCTATCTCTATAAAACAAGCAGCATGGCTATCCTGGGTGAGAACTCTGTTCCTTCTTCCTGTTGAAACTTTCTAATCCAGAGCATTGCTGGTTCATGACTTGGCTTTTGAAGTCTTGCAAGGCTCTTTTTCCTACCCTTTGGGGCTCTGTAGTTCAGTAATCAAAGTCTTCTGAGGTCCTTTCCTCGCCTTCAGAATCTTCTTTACTAACTCCTTTCTTAAAGTCTTCTATGGTCCTGCCTTTCTTTTGGAATCTTCCCTTTTCAGTGTATCCCTTGGTCCATGTTTAAATCTCAGAGTGTGGCTATGCAGCTTTGTTACCATAGCTGACACCATGCTGCATTTTATGCTGTAAGCCAATACTGCTCCTAGAGAAACAGGTCAGGAGTATCTCAGGGTGTGCGTACCTGTATGTACACCATCCGTGAGGCTGCTTGCTCCTCATCCCTAAGCAATGCTCTTCAACACTTCATCCAATGAAGCACTCCTTATTCACATCTGTACAGAGGTTCTCAGATATAACTCTCCAGTGTAGGCTCTAACACCACTCTCTTCACATGGTCATTCTAACTGGTGTCTTTTCTTATGGATGTCAGTATCAGGTGAACAGTTGCTTCTTCGTGATTAATATGAATCTCATTAGCTCAGTCAGCTGGACAGCTGGTGAGTGATGCCAAGAGGGTAGGTTCAATTCCCACACTGACTGGGATTACCCTGAAGAACTCTCCTTCATAACGTTGCCCTTGCCTGAGGTGCAGTGACCCTCAGGTTAAACCACCACCAGTCATCTCCCTCTGATAAGAGCAGCTCTATGGTCTCGTAAGACTGTGGTGATTTTACCTTACTTTCCATTTTTGTGAATCTCATCATAACACATTTTGTTAGGTTAAATAAAGAGAGGCCATTTCTTCTACTGGGGTGTGAGTGACAAGGGTCATCGATTTTAAACCATCAAGAAGTGTTCAAAGCATTGTTGTTTTAGTCTGAGTTATTAACAGCAGTAAACACTTTATCAGGGGAATTACTTGAAGGTGTTGACATTGTTTTTATGAAGGAACAGTGCAAATATTTAAAATGAATAATGTGGAAAAATGGGTACAGCCAAACAACTAGATTAGTTTTCAATTGTTTTCACAAAGACCAAAGATAATTTGATCAGAAATATTGCTTTCTTTTGTACGGTACTTCCATGTTTTCCCCTTTCAATGTAGAAGGTTGCATCAGCTTCTGCAAAAGTGTAATATTGAAAACAGAAGTGCATTTATTTTTGTTGATGTGATCATTTTAAAATGATAGTTGAAGCACATTATAAGTGGAGCCTTCAATGTGACAAGAATGAACACCCCCAATTTGAAAGCAGCAAAAATATTCCAGTTCAAGCTCTTGGACTTGCCCATACAGGAAGCAATAGCTTTCTGTTGCCTCCATGCTGGTGCAGACTATATCAGTAACACTTTCCTTGCTTCACTTTCCATCCATTATATGTTTTCTCTTAAAATCAAAGAAGTTCAATTGTTTCTGTATTAAAAATGTTTCTTGTCCACAAACTTGTTCAGGATGTGATTGAGATGATTTTGTAGTCATTATCTGTTATTGCCATCATCACTGCTTACCATACGGAGGTTACAACATGCATTATCTTCAGTTGACCCATCCTTCCATCACTGCAGGTGACCTCCTAGTAATCCAGCCTATTTGCAGGATAACTCCCCTTTTCCTGCAGGATTGGACCGGAGCTGGGATCATTTGCGGCTTGAGCAGCCTTGAACCACATTACCGGAGCTTCTTTGACATGGGGAAAGGCAGCCAGTCTCATCCTCTTCCTTGCTGGAGAAAATGTCTGCTTGTCAAACTGTTCCAAGATGATTGTCTTATGTTTCAGAATAGATGACAAACTCACTAGTGGAATCTGTCTCTCTTTTTGCTTCACATCATAGTTTCCTACTTGTTTTATCAACTTCACTTCATGTCTGATCTACTACACATCTAACTTTCTCACAAGCTTAGCAATGCTTGGAAGGTTTGAATATGCTATCACAGGGTGATCTTGATGTCAAATCAATTCTAGAGCTCCATCTTTTCTAGAGCTCCATGTTTTCATGTTCTAGTATGGCTTAACTTTGCTCCAATTAATTGTGCGTGGCCAAATGACCAGTTTGCACGAGTTTGGTTACTCCAGAGGTACCAGTCTGGATCTTTGTCTTAGCACATGCCTTGTTCTATTGGAGCGGGTATTCTGCAGGGGGATGGTTGACAACTCTGACACAACTGGAAATCCAATTTTGACTCATTACATTTTCGCTGTAATCCTATTAAATTGTTGCAATGCAGATGCAATTGAATTTGCTCTTGCTATTGCAGAAAAGGCATTTATCTCTTGCTTATTTTGTTTTCAAATCAAGAAACCTTGTCCAGTCTGCTGATGTAGTATGGGAAGTTGGATTGTTAGTTGACTCATTGTTAATTATGATCATACATTGTTAATTATTTCTTAATTCTCTTTCAAGATCCTGTTCAATTCTCGGGATTGTTTCTATGTAAAGAACTTGAGATTTGACAAGGAAAACAGAATTGATTGTATGGCAATAATCACTGGTATTGATCTGAAATCTTCAAATAAATGACTAAGGCTTTGTAGCTTGCTGTGATGGTAAAAATAAGATACTATTGTTGGTACTTTTAACCTGACTTTTACATAAATATCATGATTTGTTGCATCTTTGAGCTTACAATTGTGTACTCAAAAAATTACATTTGTGTGCAGAGGAAATAGGGCGTCTAAAGTGGTCACTTCCAACAATTTTCAAACCCTTTCTCTATACAAGGTCAGGCTAATGTAAGGTGAGAATACATTGAAAATAAAAACAATTTTCACGTATTTATTGCGTCAGTATATTTTCATTTGGCCTTTTGTTTGAGATAGTGTGTGTTGTCGGCAAATCAGGTTAGGGTATATATTAGCTTCCTCAGCCACCTCGAAACTCCACTTAACACAACTTTTCAACGAAAATTGCTGCGGTTCAACTCATTGCAATTTCACTAGAATATCCTTTATTGTCACATGTATTCAATTTAAAATACAGTGAAAAGTGTGTACCATTGCCCGTACATAGATGCCATTCACATTAACTTCAAATAAAATTTTAAAAAACTCAAAATGGAATCCAACTTTTTCTTCTCTGCTGCTACAGCATGCCAGCAATGTCCTACTCTGGCCTTCCCAGACTGCGTCACGCCACCAGTGTCCCACTCCGGCCTTCCCAGACTGCGTCACGCCACCAATGTTCCACTCCGGCCTTCCCAGACCACGTCATTGCCACCGCCAATGTTCTTCTCCGGCCTTCTCAGACCGCGCCATGCTGCCAGTGTCCCACTCCAGCCTTCCCAGACTGCGCCATGCCGCCAGTGTTCAGCTCCGGCCTTCCCAGACCGCGTCATGCCGCCGCCACTATCCTGCTCCGGCCTTCCCAGACCACGCAATGCCCACTCCACGTGGAATCCTGCTCCAGGCCTCACAGGCTGAGAGGCTGATTCTGTAGCCGCGCTGCCTCGGAAGGCGCCGCTGCCGCTCCAGACCCCGTTGGAGCCGCCTCCTGCTGAAAATGTCTCTTTATCAGGTACGTTTGAGAGAAAAGAAGGGGTAGAAGGAAAAACAAAAAGAAAAGAAAATGCAGATGAAGAGGACCAGCCCAGGCAAGGAGTCTGCACGCTGCCTACTCCACTGCCACTATCTTGATTTTCAGATGATCATAGTTTTACTTGTCCTATGACATTTGCAGGTCAGCAACAATAATACGATTAATTAATATTTTAACCAAACATCCCAGAGATTATACTGAGGCAGAAATAACCAGAACTGGGAAATGCAGGAGCTGTGTCCTCAATCAAAAAAATAGGTTCTGGCAATGATTTTGAAGGAAGCTGAAGAGGTATCAAGGTTGAGCATGAATGCTTCAGAGTCAGCAGCTGAATAGCTAGTCCCTGCAGCCAAGCACAAGGCAGTAGAAAATATAATGTAAGGGACTGAAATATAAAATAAGTGGAGGCTGCAGTCAAGTCACTGGAATCGAATAATACTGCAAAGTTTGTGAGGTGAACGGCCGTAAATATTTCAATGATTTTTAAACTCATGTATGTGTAGATAAAGCAACCAATGAACGTTGGTTAGCACAGACATAGGGGAGTAAGAGTAGAGTAATGAGACTTTGGTCCTTGAAGTTTTGATGAATAACAATTTGTGAAAGGGAGAACTCAGGATGTGGCAATAAAGGGGTTTTTGTACATGATAAAAACATGGATAAAAGTTTCAATAATATTTGAGATGTGATAGATGCAGAGGTCTTCAACGTTAGCTCAAATTAGCTTTGCTCAAATTCAAACAAGACAACAGGAATTGGTTTACAGTTCAGCATTGGTCTAAGGGAGCAATTAGCAAGGGGGTCAGTTAGGAGTATAGTGCAGAGATTGAAGCAGGAGCTTTTCGTATTGCTTTGTTCTTGCTGCTTTTGAGCTCAAGTAAATTATTGAATAATCAAGGGTGTTGGTATCGAGATAAAATGGAATGCTGTCACCATGTACCTGAAAAATGGTAATGTGACTGCATGGCATCACCAAAGGTAAACAGGCAGATGAGAAAAAGAAGAGGACCAAGGATGAAGTCTTGAAGAACACCTAACCTTTAGGGCAGGTTAGAAAACCAACACAGGAGATGTACTGGTTTTATTGTGACAAGCAGAAATGGAACCAATATTTACAATATCAGCTGTGTTGAACATCACAGAGGCTGAAAAGCAGGAGGAGGATGGAGCACCCCAGTCACTTGCACATGTCATCATCGTTAGTTGTTTTTAAAGGGAAAGGATGAAACTAGAATGAACAATTCACAAAGGGAACAAGGAGAAAGGTGGTTACAAAGCCTTATTATGAAAACATGTTTGAAGAATTTTAGAATTTATTTTTTACAGAACTTCAACAATGTTAGCGCGTTCATGGGAAAGAATATCTTCCAGCCCTGCAGAACTTGACAATGATCAACAACTATGCTAAGACTCTGAAGAAATCAATTTACAACCAAACAATATACACTTTAGTACAGCTATTTTTCAAGGAGAAGTGTTGTGTACATCAATAATATTGAATACAAGGCCACAGTCCAGCTACATCACTTCATCTTTGTCACATTCACTGCAATTAATTGTTTAAAGGAAGGATCTGATGGATTGAAAATTGAATAAGGGAAAGGATGATGCTATTAAAAGTATTGTCTGTGTGGCCTGATTATTAACTTCTTCTAATTTTGCCAAAAAAACCCTCTGCTATTTCTACATCTGCCTACTCAAACATTTGAATAAATTATTCTTCTCCCAGTTCTAGTTATTAAAGTTGCCTACGTGTTTACATGACACTTCAGTCCAGCATAAGCAAATATGCAATTGAAATTTTTGCCATAAGTAGAATTGAAAATATATTCCTGTACAATTAAGAACAGAGTCACAGCAAACACTAGAAATGATCAAATGCAACAGCAGAGAAAGGCTCAAATATTAGAAAAGTAATTGACAGAAAATGGACTTCCATATGTTTGATAAAAAAAGTAGAGTACCAGACATGTCAGTTGAATCTGATAATAAAAGTATTAAAAAGACCTGCATTTGTCTCAGTTCAGGCAGCAGATATTGAATTTGCAGCTGTCAGGTACTGACTGAGATTCATATGAAACTATATCTTTTATCCCTTCAAAATTTCAATGTGGTTTTATATTATTTGAAGTAAAGACCAAACTGGTTAGCTCAATTCATTTAGCACCATAGTCTTAATTTCAGGTAATAAAAAGCCAGATTTGCATTGGCATGTACAGTCACAGCTGCATCAGTTAAGCCTCTGAACAATTACATAAGACAGCAAACCTCCTCCAAAGACCAAACCTCTATATGTACATACAAATTAGAAACAAGAATGGGACATTCAGTCCTTTAGGTCTGCTCTGCTATTCAATAGGATCACGGCTGATCTGCTCACAGCACTCAATATTCTACCTAAACGCTCCCCACTAATCTGCATCCCCCCCACCACACCCACCAATAATCTTAGATACCCTTGTTAGTCAAGAATCTACTGCAACCTTAAAAAAATTCAATTACCCCCCCTCCATCACTCTGCAGGGAAGAGAATTCCAGATTCAAGACCCTCTCTGAAAAACAAAATGCATCTCCTTAAATATGAAACCTTGTATTTTTAAATTGTGCCCCAAGATCTAGTCTCTCCTACAAGTAGAAGAATCTTTTCAGCATCCACCCTTTCAAGCCCACCTCACACCTGGATCTGATAGGAATCAATCAGATTTTAAAGTGAAATGCAGGAGGTTTAGAGGACATTTGAGGAAAAACCTTTTTCACCCAGAGCGTGGTGAGGTTCTGGAATGCACTGCCTGGGAGGGTCACAAAAGCAGGAAACCTCACTACCTTTAAAAAGTACTTGGGTGAGCACTTGATGTGTCATAACATTCAAGACTACAGGCCTAATGTGGGAAAGTGGGACTTGTGTAGGTAGCAAGATATTTTTGGTGGTATAGATCTGATGAGCCAAAGGGCCTCTTCTGTACTGAATGTTTCTATGATTCTATATCCTAGGACATCTGGGTCCCCTGAAGCTAAGAGTTCTGAATTTCTCTCAATTTAAATAACATATGACTTAGCTATTCTTCCTGTCAAAATGGACAATTTCACACAATTTCCCACATTATTTTCCATCTAACAATTCTTTGTCCACTCACTTTATCTACGTCCATTTCCAGATTCCTTATGGCCTCTTTCCCTACGTATTTTCGGGTTATCAACAAATTTAACTACCATACATTCAATCACTTCATCTATGTAATCAAGAGATTATAAATAGTTGAGGTCCAACTGGTTCAGATCTAAAAACATACAGATAATCAAGTTCAAGGTTTAATTCCTAGCACTGGGATTCAGGTAGAATCACACTTGGATAGGATCTGTAACCTGCTCTTGTGACATGTCAAAACTTTTACAACAAGAACTCTTGCGGTGCAGTGGTAGTGTCCTTACCTGTGAGCCAGGAGGCCTAGGTTCAAGTCCAACCTGTTTCAGAGGCGTGCAATAACATATATGAGCAGGTTGATTAGAAAATACCCATATTTTACAATTTTAAAGGCATTCCTCAACAACTTTGGAAATACCAACGGCAGCAGGAGGCAGATTTTCCTCAGAAAATCCTTAAATCATCCAGAAAAATCCACTCATGGGCAGGGTGGAGGGTTGCTGACCAATTGGACAGAAATCGGGGAAGGACAAGGAAGGGCAAGGAGTTACAAGGGGATTAGGGTGTAGAAGGAGATAAGAGCTGCCAGAGAAAAAATAAGGCTGCAAGAGGTGTGATGGGGTAAAGGGGGCTTCAAAAAGAAGGGTATTTGGGGAGAGGGAGGTTTCAATTATAGGAGAGAGAGGCTGCAAAGGAGAGAGCAGAGCTTTAAAACTGCCAACAAAGAAATACTCTACTAACTCGGATCCAAGGAAATTACAAATCACTGAGACAATGAATTCGGAATCTCAAGTTAAAAGCTGTGTAAGTTCAGATCTACTACACTTCAAAAATCTATTGGAGCACACTGGATTGAATATAGTCAATTGTTAAATTTAAATCTGAAATTGAGATCTCAGATACAATAAATGAGATGGCAGCTGCCTGGTTAAAGTGTTCCAGTTTTGCACATGTGTGATGGAATTGCTTTAGTTGGGACTACACCAGTCTTTGGTGTTTAAAGTGATGGATTTTCATGTGTGTAAGTGTGTGTCAGTTTTTTTGAGATAAAAATTTGTTCTCTTGTGCCTGTTATCTTTTTATCAACTAAAACCTCTGGTGTCCAGGAAATTAATGCTTTCCTTGTGCGCTGTGACTTTAAATTTAGTGGAGAGTTGACAGTTATTAATTATTCTAATTCCAATTGTGCACAAGTCCAATTTTCTGATATGGCAACACAAATACAGATTTTTTACACAACAGGCATTGCCTAATAGATGAGGTAATGAGAATGAAAAAGCAGCGCTCAAAAATTAAAAAGTAGCCCTCAAGATCTCAAGAAGTGACCTTGAGAAAAAGAAATCATTTTACACTCTTCGCAGAGATCAGCAAAATGTAGTTTTGAATGTAATTATATACAGAGAATGATAACAAAAACATCTTAACTGGAGCCAGGCTACAGTACCATATTTTCCAATATTTGACTAAGAACATCACCACCACCCATTCCACACCACCCCCCAACAACCCCCGCTACCACAACAGCACCCCCACCCACCCCCACCCCCCACCACCACCCAACAAACTTACAAAGTTCTTGTGTTTGAGAGACATAAGCTCCCTTGCCATCTCCTTGGAGTCTATTTCTATCGCTCACACATTGGTGGAGTGGCAATGACAGCTCATGACCACAACTGATTTGTTGGGCTGATAAGGCTGCTGTAAAGCTGAGCTTTGCTGATAGTTTATTCCTCACAGCCTGCAACTGCCATCTATGCAGATCAACAATTTCTGGTCACTGAACATCAACACGCTTCACTTTTGAACACTTTTAAATCTTCTCTTTCCCTCTGGAATAACATCTTATAAGCTACTTGAAGTTGTTATACTTCTTTCTGGTGGGCATTTGCTAAGAATTAGTTTTGATTTAAACATGTAAAGCTGATATTGATGTTCTCTGTGCATTATTGCAAAGATCTGTTACATTAGTTGGCTTCAGTCTGTACAGGTGTGGCACTATCCATGGTCTCGAATTTGTTTTGAAGCTCTTAGTGGCTTGCACATATGCTTGAAGATCTCTTCCTAACTCCATAATTCTTGACATCTCCAATGCTGTGGTCACATTACTGGGTGGAGAAATTTTTGAAGCTTCACTTACTTTCATAAAGGATTAAATAAATACAAGTTTACTTTCTTGCTTTCCAATAGTGATCTGGCTACCTACTCTGGGAGTAACTTCTTCTTCAAACTGCAGTTGCTGTTGCTGTATCACCCAGGCAGGTTCTGTACAGTAGACAACTTTACTTCTTCTTTATCTTCTTCAAGAAAGAACTGATATTCTTCAAAAGAGATAACTGGGTCTTCAGAAACAGTGCGCCTTACAGGAATGTCCAAATTTTCCGATTCAAGTCAATCAATGACTTTTTTGCTCGTTTCCTTCTCTGTAACTAATTTCTTTAAGAAAAAACCATTGCCCAGAATGCTCTCTGTTGGCGGGCCACTATCTTCTTTGGTAAATGCTTTTCCTGCTGATTTCACTTTCTGTTTCAATAGAAATAGAGTGTCTGCACCACCCTCTGTAATGTTTCAACTTAAGTGTCCTCAGGTGTCTGTTAACCAAAGAATGTCTAGAGATAGACAAGCAACTCTGCTTAATAAAGAATCAAACTGGTTAAGAATTATATAAAATATTTCCATAACCTCTTTACCCCTGTAATAAATTTTTGAATATATATGATCTTTAACTGATTCCTGAAGTTTCTGAGCTGTAAATTTTAATGCAGAACAGTCTGAGGATTCCTGGCCTCAACCGTGGTAAACCATCTGAAAGATTTGGTACCATCTCTCTGGTATCTACTTTAGAACTAGCTCCTCTGTTATTTTATTTTAATGTCTATGTACCAAAACACAGGTGTGACACTTCAACCAAGAAGAATGCATCCAATTCACCTTTAGCCTAAAAGGCATCAACTTTGTGCACCACAGGAGGATGAAGTTGTGTATCTATAGACTTTTGAACAATAGGCAGAAATACATAATTTCTGCTTCGGCAAACCCACCTGAACATGGCCTCTCCTATGGCATGCATGGCATTCTGCATTTGTGGATGAGCAGGACGAAGATTGAAGTCAGTTTTTCCACTTATAACACGGAAAAGAACCAACGGTGGTATGTGCACATCTTCCCATTGTGCTTGCTGCCTTGCTGGCCCATTCATACTTTTATGATTAACAAACTGAACTGAGTCACTGTCAATGGTCTGAGTCCAAAACCAATCTCAGGCATCTTGAATAAAACCCTGTTTTGCTTACAATGCTTGGCCTGTATGGCACACTGCATTACTTTTTGGAATGAAAGATCTTTAGACTTTAAAAACTCTGACATGGTTTCATCCTGTACCCGCAGATGTAAGTTCCGGTTCTGTGTGATCAGTCATCACCATGACACAGCTACTGAGTATATTTAAAAGAGAGCGATGTCCAGAGTAAAGGTACAAATCCTTTTACTCCACATTACCTAACCTGTAAAGATGTATGGGTGATGTTTTGCAAAAGGATATCTTCAGCTTACTAATGGTTTCTATACACACACACACACACACACACACACACACACACACACACACACACAATCTGAAATTACAGGAGCAATATTAAAATTTGATGAAACCTATTTGGAGCTAATAGCAGCAGGAGAGGTGAGGGATGCAGTTCAATGTAAAAAATTGAAACCATAGATTTAGAAGGAAGACTAAAATATTAAAATTTTGTCAGTAAAATGTATTTAACAGATATATGTACCTTGTTATGTAGGTGTAGTCACCATTGAAAATCAAAGTTTAAGTAAATATGAAATAAAATGATTGAAATCCTTGGCTTTGATGGAACACAGAGGTAATTATTAATTTGAGTAACATCCTAAACATGGAACAAAGAAAAACAAAAGAACTGTGGATGCTGGAAATCAGAAACAAATTGCTGGAGAAACTCATCAGTTCTGGCAGCATCTGTGGAGAGAAATCAGAGTTAATGTTTTGGGTCCAGCAACCCTTGTTTAGAACAGACCCTTCTGGCAGTGTCCTTTCTCTGTAGGTGACATACAAAGTAATTCTAGTTGACTTTGTGGTATCCACAACCAGGTGTCTTGTTCTTGGTGAGCTCTGAGAGAGTTTGGAGATCTGAATCAATCAGGTTGTAAATACTTCTCTGGTTTAGTGTCATGTCTTGCTGCCTTTTGGGCATAGCACGCATTGACATATTTATAATTCTATACAATTGTCTAAAAATATTGTGCTTTTAAAGTTTGCACAGACTTTTCTAAGTGGTTCAGTTGCTTACTTTTATTTTGCACCAATATGTACCAATGGGAATGCTTTTGAAGTTCTGTGTAGGATCTCTCTGCAGTTCATGTGCTGAAAAATAATCATCATGGCCTTCACTAAAATGATCACCAGTTGTATGTTTTTAACAGCGCTTAGAATCATAGAATCAGTACAAAAGGAGGCTATTCAGTTCATTGTGATTGAAGCAGCTCCCAAAAGGGCTACCCAGCTAGTCCCATTCTCCAGCCCTATCTCCATAGCCCTCTAAATTCATCTTTCAAATATATCTTCACTCTCTTTTGAAACCTCTTATAAAATCTGCCTCACCACTCTCCCAGGCAGAAAAACATTGCACTCAGCCACAAATAAAATCTGGCTATACACCAGTTACTCAAACCACACTTCTCTGTGCTAATTATTCACTCACTAATTTACCATTAGGAATGGAAGAAAACTATTGAGTGATGTCAGCAGCCACCAGACACAGTATTACATTCAGGCTCACATCCGTTTCATCGGATATACATTCAACAAAGTTCTTTTTTAAACTCAGGTGTCAGATTCTTGAAGAAGTGTTCAGAAATGACTCATAGCATCTTCTTTGTCTGATTCCATCAAACCTTTGGAGATGAGTGTTCTCCAACGTTTTAGCTTATAATACATCTTTATACATTTCTCACACATTTCACACTTTAAATACAACTAAAGACTAGTTTTAATTAATGAGATTTTAAATTTATTCAATAACAAAATATACCAACTTAAGTTGTTTACCAGCACTTTGTACATATTATCCGTGGATAATCTTGAACAACATTACCAATCTTTTCTACTTAATCACTGAATATCACACCCATGACTAGCTTGCTACGATCGTGATTGAAACTCATTGCACATCAATGTTATAGATTTAAGATCTTGCAGAGCTTCATGTCAGAATATGCCAGATATGTGATTAAGTTTCAGTCTTTTTTTCCACTAGAGTGCACAATACAAAGCCCTCAGCATGTAGACAAAACTGACAGGTCATCCAAATTGCTCCAAGTTACTGAGGAGCATTGAAGCCAATTGCTTCAGTTGAATGAATAGTTCATCATTCTCACTATGGAAAGAATTGACTGAGATTGATGCTACATACAAAATAGTCACTGAACTGCAAAAGTACATGGCTCTGAATGCTTTAAACCTTAATAGTTATCCAAATATTAACAATGGATAGCATCTAATAATAGTATTTTATCACAATCTCCTATTCACAAATTGTTGTAATCCACTCCCTTATGATTTGAAGTCTTACAGAAGTGCTGACTTCGTCCATCGCTGTTTTTTAAAATTTATTCATTAATGGGATGACAGCATCACTGGCTAAGCAGCATTTATTGCCCCTCCCTAATTGTCCAGAGGGCAGTTCAGAGTCAACCACATTGCTGTCGGTCTGGAGTCACATGTCGGCCAGATCAGGTAAGGATGGCAGTTTCCTTCCATAAAGGATATTAGTGAAACAGACGGGTTTTTCTGACAATTGACAATGGGTCATCATTAGATTCTTAATTACAGATATTTTATTGAATTCAAATTCCACAATTGAGTTGCTTAAAGTGTTTTAGAAGTCACAATTAATACACAAGATTTTTAAAACAGAAAACTGAAGAGGGATTGCTCTTCAGAGGTTTGAGTAGGGCTGGAGAAAAGATTAATATTGTTGGAGAAAAGGAATAATGCAGAGATGCCAGTGTTGGACTAGTGTGGACAAAGTCAGAAATCACACAACACCGGGTTATAGTCCAACAGCGACGGCGATGGCCTAGTGGAATTATTGCTAGACTATTAACCAGAGACCGAGATAATGTTCTGGGAACCCAGGTTCAAATCATACCACAGTGGATGGTGGAACTTGAATTCAATAAAAAAAATCTGGAATTAGGAATCTACCAATGGCAACGAAACCATTGTCGATGGCCAGGAAATCTGCCATCCTCCCCTGGTCTAGCCTACATGTGACTTCAGACCCACAGCAATGTGGTTGACTCTCAACTGTCCTCTGAAATGGCCTAGCAAGCCATTCAGTCCTACCAATCGCTATAAAGCCTCAAAGAAATGATACCGGACAAATTACCACTAGGCACCAGAAATGACAACAGCAGAAACAGCCTTGTCAACCCTGCAAAGTCCTCCTCACTAACATCTGGGGGCTAGTGTAAAAATTGGGAGAGCTGTCTCACAGACTAGTCAAGCAACAGCCTGACACAGTCATACTCATGGAAACATACCTTACAGACAATGTCCCAGACACCACTACCACCATCCCTGGATATGTC